GCAATTCTCCTGCCTCAGCCTCCTGAGTAGCTGGGATTACAGGCATGCGCCACCATGCCCAGCTAATTTTTTGTAGTTTTAGTAGAGACGGGGTTTCACCATGTTGACCAGGATGGTCTCGATCTCTTGACCTCGTGATCCACCCGCCTCGGCCTCCCAAAGTGCTGGGATTACAGGCTTGAGCCACCGCGCCCGGCCAAGGATATTCTTTTCATAGGAAGTTTATATTTGAAATTATGGAATAATCCTAACCTGGGACATAACGTGTTTTTCCAAGTTTGCCTTTTCTCTCAGGTGTTGGAGAGCCAGTTTCATAAATGACTATTAGCTGAAATCTCAAATTTCTGAACCCCCTGGGCCCTGTATACTTATATTCCTGAGTCTGTCTTCTGTCTTTTAAGGCTTCATATTTAATTCTGGTGCATTTCTCCAGCGGCAAGCTGAGAGTGGCAGAAGAGGAGGAAATTGTAGTTTGACTGTCAGTTCTGTTGCCAGGTGTATGGTCAGAAGGGCCTGGCAAAGGTGGAGATTAACCGAGAGGACATATTGAAGTGCCCAGTAAATGCTGAATGACTGAGCTAAGTGATAGCTCTGGAAAACCCCAGAGAATGGCCCTGAGGATTGATGCTGAACTTAAGGAAACCTGAAGTTAAAGCTATTAGATTTAGGCCAAGGAAGCTGTACCAGTAAATAGAGCTACAGCATAAAACTGAGGCTACTTTTCTGCTTTAGAGATTGGATGGCTGCTAATTGATAAAAGTATCTTGGAATACATAGATATTAAATACTGTAGTTTAGTATCTTTATACGAAAAGTATCTTTATACTACAGTTCTAACCTGCCACCAGCACCATTGTTAGCACAACTGACTATATGCCAAATACTATCACACCTGTTTATAAATATTAGTTGGCTCATATGTGTTTGGAAAATAGGGAAAATATGTCAGTATAATGTGGCAGTTGTTGATTCATATGTAACATTCCCTGGTTTAGGAGAGCTGGTATAGTGAGGTAGAATCACAACCTTTAGCTGGAGAGGAAAAAACTGAACTCTCCTGCAAAGACAGCAGGAGTCTTTTTAGCACTATACTAAGAAAATCCGAAATGAGCACCTACACCTAGGGCTTCCTCCCCAAGAGGTGCACCACTACTTTTACCTTGGTTTTACAACAGGCAGATTCCTTTCTTTGCATTGTCGTAGCTGGCTGGCCTTCTTACTCTGTTATACAGTGTTAATATGCTCTGATACAGCCTTAAACCACCACAAGATGTTTGCCTGGGCATGCAAATGATCTCCCTGGGTACCAGTTATTGATGTTGTTACTTATGTTTGCCTGGGCATGCAAATGATTTCCCTGGGTACCAGTTATTGATGTTGTTACTTCTCTGGTTATAAACTTGAAAAGATTGTGAGTGTCCACCCCTTGCCCCCTCCCCACCCCGACATTAAGCATTATTTTTACTGCAAAGTTTTTCTAGAATGTGTATATTACATTGAGCAGAAATGTCTCTATTTCCTTTTTGGATTTTTTTTCTAAGCATATTTTAATTTGTTTTTATTATTTTTAAGTGTCAACTCCAACTTCTAATATGTTATGCTTATTTTTCAAAATTTGATTTCCTCAACTCATTTTGTCTTAGACTCCTCAAAGCCTTTCCTCTATTCATTGTTTTAGTCTTCTCTTCTCTCCTACCTTCCTATAATAATCTCTCCCATTCCACCCTTTAGCTTCTTTGTGCATTTGATGTTAATTTACAAGGTTAGGAAAATTTTTGCGTTGGCATTTTGGGGTGTTTAAGAGTCTTCCATTAGGAGCAGAGATTATATTTACGAGCTCTTGTGTTTTAATATGAGGGATATTTCACTATATTTTTAAGTCAAAATTAACAGCACTGAAATATATTTTATAGCAAATACATAGATGTTGATTAGTAGTATGTAAGCATGCATATATTGTGTGTTTAATGTAATTTGTAAACACATTTATAAAGTATATAAATTTATGAATGTGACTGTGTATAATGCTAATTTTATTTTCCTTCAGGATGATCAGGATGGTAGTCAAGGTCTGGGCAAGAGAAAGAGGGTAAAACTAAGCAGTGGTACCAAAGGTATTTTTATTGTTTTTTTTCCCCCTTGAATAAAATGCTTCTAAAAAATGCCTGACCACTAAAAATACTTGATGGGCTAGCAGTATTGACATCAAAACTGTTTGAAGGGAGACTTACATTATTGGATTTATCTAATAAGTCTTGCAGAAAGTATTGTTAAGGGATGACTGTTGGATTTTGTTCATTATTTTCATCACAAAATATGCATTATCATATTTGAGTCCCCTCCCATAAGGAATTGTTTTTCACTGATTAATTGATTTGGCTTGAATTTGTAGTTTGGCCTAGTTCCTTTTATAATCTGGAGTATGCAATTTCTAGAGTGAAAAAGACAAGGGAGACATGGTGAGAGACAGAGATAGACAGACAGACAGACAGACAGACACACACACACACACACACAATGGGAATGAACAAATAGTACTTAACACATAATAAAGGCTCAGTAGGGACTCACATGTTTACTCAAAGGAGAAAGTAGTATAGATATGCTTTATAGTGAGGGACTAGATTAGTAATAATAATGAATAATATTTATTGAACCTTTTATATGTGTTAGATGTAGTACTAAACACTTCACATGCATTTTTTCATTTAATTCTCAAAGTAACCATATAAAGCAGGTTTGATTTAACAATCATTTACCATTATATGAATGAAGAAATGGTGACATGTTAGAGATTATGGCTAATGACAGGTAGATCCTTAATTCATATCCCAGAGCCTAAGCTTTTAACCACAGTGTTTACTTGACTGTCACTAAAAGCTTTTCTAGAATACTTGTGATTAGTTGACAAGTCTGTGCTTTAGATTTTTGCCAGGGATTTCCATATCTTAACATGTGGTCTGTTTAGAAAATCTCCAGAGGCTAAAATATTATTTTGATGAAAAGAAATTTCTTACTTCTGCCATTAAGTGTATCTTGCAAAATATCTAGGACTGCCTAGAAAGGTGGAACATGCAGGTACTTTGAGTTGCAGTTTCCTTTTCTAAGTCTCAGTTATTATGCTGCTGCATTTAACTTGGGGGTTGCTAGGAAAGAGTGTGGAATTTGATCTGTAGTCCAGGATGCACACATGCACACGTTTTTCTGGCTCAGCAGAGAACTTGTACCTCTGAAGGAAGTTAGGAACCCATATGACCATCTGGCTCCTTAACTTATCAAATCTCAAACTGAGTCCTCGTGATACATCTGAGTTGAAAATTGTTAGGCACATAGTTGAGTTTAAGCTTTAGGGATGCCCAGAAAATACCTGCTGTGGTATAGGAGGTCATTGTTTTCCTTCAGCCTGGTCACATTCTGACTGAAGATATTTTTTGTATGGACTTAAGTTGAAGTGTTTTTTTGTTCATTTGTTTTTAAATACCTGAACTTTTTTCACACGTGGTTTTGGATTGAGTGCCTTCTCTTCCTTGCTTTAGTGGTAAGAAATAGTACAGAGATTTAAGACTTCATCAGTTATCATTTTCAGTTTAAGTACGTACATGGAAGGAATGGCTTTGTGAATTAGAACCCGAGGTATTTTCAAAAACGGACCTTATTTTGAAGATATCTGAAGCTTAGGGAATGGTTCAATTTTTGTAAAAATTTTGTTCAACAGCTTGAAAGTGCACGGAAAAGAAAATATGTAATGGCAAGGAAGAGGCCAGACGCTATGCTAACCTCATCACTGCCTGTTCTCTAAACTTACATTTTAAGGGTGAAGAAACTGAGTCCTCGAGGGCTTTAACTGCATGTCCAAGATTCCAAGATTATTGAGCTAGTGAGTTGCAGAACTTGAACTCTGCTATCTTTTTTTCTTTTTTTTGAGACAGAGTCTTGCTCTGTTGCCCAGGCTGGAGTGCAGCGGTGCGATCTTGGCGTACTGCAGCCTCCACCTCCCGGGTTCAAGCAGTTCTCTGCCTCAGTCTCCCAAGTAGCTGGGTTTATAGGTGCCTGCTACCACACCTGGCTAATTTCTGTATTTTTAGTAGAGACAGGGTTTCACCATGTTGGCCAGGCTGGTCTTGAACTCCTGACCTTGTGATCCACCCTCCTCGGCCTCCCAAACTGCTGGCATTACAGGTGTGAGCCACCATGCCTGGCCAAACTCTGCTCTCTTAATTAAAACCTTTGCTTTAGTCATGCATTACACTGCATCGTGATTCTTCAGAAATCTCTTTTTACAGTTTGACTTAAGGTAGTTTACACATTGTTAAAAGTCATGTCAATATTTAAAGATATATAGTCAAACATAACTAATAGAAGCATTTCTAATTACATTTCCATAATATTACACATAAAGTATATAACATATGCTTTAAAATCTTGGGAGACTGACATCACCTATTTTAAGAACAACAGTGAAGACATTGCTGGAGTTTTTTTTTTTTTTTGTCTGCAGATTAAAAAATTGAATTCTGCATAACTGCAACTATTCTCATTTTAGCAGAAGGCACAGCTTTCCTGGTATATTCAGGTTGTTTTATTGATTTAAAACATCATTAATGTATATTTTCTTTTAAGTGCTTGACTAATAATAATTATGATGGCTTCAGGCTTTTCATATGGCTAGTGCAAGCTTGCAGTCATAACTATGAATTCTATGATTAATAGTACTAGTTTTGTTCAGCTTTGTGAGTAATTAAGAAGCACTTACCAATGAGGGTTTTTATTTTGGTAGTCTGTGAAATTATCAGTCATGTTGTGTTAAGTGGATTGTGAGAATTAAATTAGGTACAGCAATGTGCTGTGGATTGTAACTTACTTACTTTTTTCAGGACAGGGTCTCACTATGTTACTCAGGCTGGGATACAGTGGCATGATCTTGGCTCACTGCAACCTCTGTATCCTGGGTTCATGTGATTCTCCTGCCTCAGCCTCCTGAGTAGTTGGGACTACGGGTGCATGCCACCACACCTGGCTAATTTTTGTATTTTTTTTAGAGACAGAATTTTACCATGTTGCCTAGGCTGGTCTCAAACTTGAGCTCAAGCCATCTGCCCACCTCAGCCTCCCAAAGTGCTGGGATTACAGGCGTGAGCCACTGTGTCAAGCCTATATTACAATTTTTAGTTATAAATCTTAAATTCTTGCTACCTGATTCTCTTGGGCTCTGTTTTTATTATTTTTTGTCTTTGAATCTGTCAGTGAGTCTTTTGACTGTATTTTACCTTATTTCTTGCAATCTTTGTTTCTTTCTGTTTTAAAATCATTGTCATACCCTGGAGGTGATCTGTTTCAGGAGGAATAGACTTCTGTTTTATAAGTAGAAAATTCTGAATTTTGAAAATAATAACTTAATTTCTAATAATAAAGAAATGTAGTCTGGGCAACACAGCAAGATCTTGTCTTTACAAAAAATAAAAAATAAATTAGCAGGGTGTGGTCTTGCACACCCTGCTAATTTATTTTTTAGCTATTCAAGAGGGTAAGGTGGGAGGATCACTTGAGCCAAGGAGTTTGAGGCTGCGGTGAGCTATGATTGTGCCACTGCACTCTGGCCTCAGAATGAGTCCCTGACTCTAAAAAAAAAGATGTATAGTGTACTTGTCTTTATATGTTAACCACTACTATATATCACTTATGTCACCACTGAAATGGAATTAGGGAGTTGTAGTTAGAAACTATAGAGCTTGCCTCTCTTTAGATATAATATCTTCAGAATATATAGGATACTTTGATGTCATTTTTTCTTTAGTTATTAATTAAAAAACTGTGTTAAGGTTTATCTAATAAGGACTGATTGGGCCGGGTGCAGTGGCTCACGCCTATAACCCTAGCACTTTCGGAGCCTGGGGCAGGAGGATCATGAGGTCAAGACATTGAGACCATCCTGGCCAACATGGTGAAACCCCATCTCTACTAAAAGTACAAAAATTACCTGGGCATGGTGGCGCACACCTGTAGTCCCAGCTACTCGGGAGGCTGAGGCAGGAGAATTGTTTGAAGCCAGGAGACGGAGGTTGCAGTGAGCTGGTATCGCGCTACTACACTCCAGCATGGTGACAGAGCGAGACTCCATCTCAAAAAATAATAAAATAAGGACTGATTCAAGCCTTAGTAAACTTAGTGTTTTATAAAAAGTGATGACATGTTGAGCTTATTGTTATTCATTTAGATCCACTACCTGGGGAGATGTAGGATGAACACATTATTCAATACTAGAAGTATAAAGCTGGGGTAGTGTTAATTGAAAAAAAACTCTGCAAGGTTATCCTGCAGGATACTTCAAACAGTGAAATAGTTAGGGCTGTACCTGAGGATTTTGATGCATGTGAGATACTGTTTTTTCCGGTTTCTCATCCAAGTCCGGTCCCTGCTTAAGCAGTGTCACTGGAGCCAGTACATTCATGGTTGACACTTCTTGTATCCTCTTGATGTCTTTGTGGTAGAGCTGATGATCCGGAACAGTAACTTAAGATCATGTCCTCTGACAAAGATTAATAGTCAGAATTTTCTAATTCATTTGCAGGGGAAGAAATTAGTGAGAGAAAGAGACAGTGAAAGTATTCAAATTACTAGTTCATCATACACCTCTTGAGACCTTCTGTTGACTAAGCTTGGCAAGAATGCAGAGCTTTGCAAGAGACCGACTGGCCCTCAAGAAGTGGCAGTTGGCCTTAGACTTTCCAGTAGATAATGCTATTTTCCATTGAATACTTTTATTTTAAAAGGGCATCCATTCCACCCTTCATTTTTCCACTTACTGCTCTATATTAAAAGATAAGCATTAAATTTTTTCTTATATACTGTGTACATTGTAGAAATCTAGCTTGTCAATATTATTGCATTATTGAAGGCATATTTTTAATTTTTAGATACACTCACATATGGTTTATGTGTTATTAGTTATATAAGGTTTAAATGAGATGAGCAACTTCAATCATTAACTGATAAATTTCATTTTTCTTGTGCAGATCAATCCATAATGGATGTTTTGAAACATAAAAGCTTCCTAGAAGAACTATTGTTTTGGACTATAAAATATGAATTCCCCCAAAAGATGGTAACTTTCTTACTCAACATGCTTCCAGATCAAGAGTATAAGGTATCTATATATTTTCCTGCTTTTCTGAACTTAGCTTTTTTTCTTTGCCTTTTCATTACTAAATCTTTTTTGGATATATTTCTCAGGTGGGGGTTGATATTACACTATAAACAAGCAGTAGCTTCTTCCCTTGCTAACACAGGTTCTGCACAAAAGGCACAGTGTCTGAGCTTTGTGGCAAAGCAGCATTACTGAGCAGAATTCCAAAGGATTGCTTTTCTGCATGGAACTTTGTCTGGAGGGAATGCTGGGGAACAAACGTTGAAAACGCCATTTTTTTTTTTTTTAAGAGAAATAAATATGTAGTTACAAATTGTTCTAAATCCTTTGAAGAAGACTACAAGGTGCTATGAGAGGGTTTAATGGGAACAATTGAATTTAGATTGTGAGATTAGGCTGGGAAAAGCATGGGTTGAATAGTTTTTGGTCACCACAGCTAAAGAGAGAGCAGTTATTGACTCATATACAAATGTTGGTAAGTGACGTTTCTAGTTCCAGGGAGTCAGAACCCACACGTTACCATCATGTGGTTATGGCAAAGTGACAAAGCTCAGCG